GCAGTGTCTAGCGGACACGCAAGCCTCGTTGAGGCAATAATTGATTGGAACTGTAAATATTTTCAATCTTAATCGGGGAGAGGGTAACTGGGTTACACGTACCGTGGTAACAGGGGGGGTCACACGAGATGGGCATGGTGTGACTGCACCCAAATAAGAATTCAATACGTGGCTGTCGCCAGTAGTTATGCATATATTTAGATTTTACTATATATTTAGGAAAATCTATACATTTAAAATTAGGCGGCTTTGCCGCAGATAAAACAAATAAATACAGTATACACTTTTAACAGAAGATTTTTTATCAGCCTTCGATTAAGGTTACAACTACTCTTGGAGGTAGCGGATTGCGATCCGCTACACTCGTACTGGTTCTTATGAAGAACGTAAGGTCTTGTGACCTAAATTACGCTTCCTCTAAGCGCAAAGCTGCTGCAGCCCCGCTGCGAGAAAAGCCTCATGGCTTGGCCAGGAGTCTCGTACTATTTGATGGATCGTACCAATGTGTTTAACTCAAACCTTCGAGAAAGTTTTAAGGACGAGGATGCAGGCTCCAGATCTATATACTATCCTATAAAATATTCTTATCCTCGAGCATAGGTAATCTCACCATTTGTAGTATTTAAAGGACTGTAATTTATGATCTTACTTTCAAGCTGACTACCATAAAAAAGAACTCGAACGAGTAAACGAAGAATGTAATCAATATTTTAATATAATAAGCATACCACGTTTAATGTTTAATCTCTCGGCCTTTAAAACAAAGTAAGCGAAATATTGTCTGCCATAGTTAAGTCGTCGCCTGCTTTCAGGTTCCAATATCGAAAACTTCTTGTTCAACAGACTATTACATTCTCTTGATACTTGAATCATTATTTCGTACCCCTTGAATCGCATCTTGATTCACAGAAGTAGTTTAATTTTCCAGCCAAAACAATAGCAAAAATCAAATACTTCAGATCAATGAAAAGGTTGCGTCAGATCCAGTGTCGATCTTCATTCATTTCATATAATCACCAGTAGTTTGCAATCCATAGTTTTTTATATCACTTCATGTTTAAAGAGATATGGCATGACAAGCAGTCCCACAAGTAACTGCAATAGTAAATTCCAAATAGCTGAATGTCGATTATCAGCAAGCCAAAGTCGCTGGTAGATCAAAGGATTAGTACATTTAAAGTTCAGAGTGTTTCAAAGAAACGTGACGTACCGTGATAATACTAACAGCACCCGAAAAGACAGAGAGAGATCCACAAAAAGATGTGACAAACTTGAGGGCGAGGAGTTTACCCGTAACGTCTGTAAAAGTGATTCGATTGAGCTGATAAGTAACTCCCGCTAAGATACTAGCTAAGAAATTACAGCAAAGGCATCCCCAATCAATAAATGGTCCATTCCTTTGTGATGTAGCAGTGCGAAGTTCTAAAGGTTCTTCTGGAAAGAAAGCACAGATATAATTCGAAAACAGGACTGCAGTGCATGACATCAAGATACCAAGTATCAATTCTTCTCCATCAGCTACTTGTACTTTACCAATAAATTGTGGATCATTCGGATCACTAAAATAACGGTGTGAAAATCGACTGTACTGATATATTGATAAAGTGTCTTACGTACCGAACAAATCCATGCGATCCAAATGCTGCACGTACGATTGTCATTCCTACAAAAGCTAGTAACATCGTCACAAGTGAGACCTTCATCTTCATTCGCTTAACTCTCATCTTTGACACTTGAAAGCTCCATTTGAATTGAGCAAAATATTTTCCAAAACAGAAAAAGCTACACCCTCCAATAATTGAAAGACAAACGTAGATTGGTCCTGCTATCAAGTTTGTACTGCTTAAATCTCCAGCATGATCCACCATGAATGAAAAAGATGTAAAGACCCTGTACTAGAACCATTAGTCGTAAACTTTTGAAAATTTCAAAGAATCAGGTGAAGTGATGTACAATACCCTAAAAATGCCACTCGAAATTGGACGCACGCTAGTGACACATCGGAACGATCGTGAGAGCCATACGTCCAACCATCAAGAAATGGTCCAAGCCAATTTAAGACTGTCCCGCTTACATTTAACCCATAAAATTGTGAAGTGTATACTGGGACAAAACAAGTGGTGACACACTCCGATACTGTTGCTAGTAAAAGCATCCACAAAAAAGCCTGATCTGTCTCAGTTTGACGTAGCAATACTTTCTCCTGTTCCTTCTCTGTGTTAATTGCAATATCAATAGCCGCATCTTTCACGTCTACATTCCCAGCGCTATCGTCACGGTGACCTTGTGCACGTAACATTTGCTTGTCCGGATATAATTTTGTAATGTTGCTTGGAGAAATTCCAATATTTATATTTTTGTCAAAATTCTAAACTAGTATCGTCTTAAAATGATTGCTATCTTTCGTCTAAATCCGAATATACACACATTTTAGCAAACAACGCACCTTTCTTAACGGCCCCTCCGCTCGATTGGAGACAACTTGATGGACGAGAGTTCAGATCTCAACGCAGCTGTACGTCCTCGATTGAATTCAATTGACGATACTCTCACTGTTCTTCGACCGAGTATCAATGACATTAGTGTGCGAGAGGAGCTTCCAGCCATTGTCGCACCTCAAGGAACTCAAAATGCAATAATCTCGACATTTGATGAAAAAAAGAGTGAGGGAGTAAATGATTGCAAACTTCAAGTTTTGGTACCGCCAGTGGATGAAAGTGAAGTCTATTTTTTAATTGCAGACTTTTTAAAACGCCACTCAATTTGTCATCAAGCAGCAGATGTACTGATTCAAGAGATGACGAAGCACAAGTTATTGAAGAATAGTATTGATTGGACTGGAAAATCTCGACCAGCTACATATGACGATTTTCGACTACGACATCGTGATCTTTCATCAAATCATCTCATGCAATTGCTTCAAGATGCATTGACGTCATTTTCAAGGCGAAATGGAAAGAAAGAACAAGAGAATGTGATACAAGACACAATAATGAACGAGAACAATAATTTATTGATGCAAGACACAATAATGAACGAGAACAATGAATTATTGATGAACGATGCTTGTATGAACGAGAACACTAGTTTATTACTTCGATCCAGAGTTAAGACCCAGCAATTAACAAGTGAAGAACGTATGAAAGTTGGAAAAGCACTCGTTCGACATGTTTTAAAAGAACGAAGTTTACAAAAGACATTGCGAATTGTCGAAAACGTGATCAAGAAATACGAGCACTATTCTCACTTCTTAACAGCAAAACGAGTAGAAGAATTACCGGAAGAATTTCAATTGCACTTTCAAAAAGAAGAGAATGAGAACGAGAACATGACGACATTAGCGGCAGATGTACGTGCAGTGAAACAACTTTTTCAAATACGAAAAGAACAAGCACAAGTCAAGAAGGAGCTTTTGGTATTGATCAAACAAGCAAAAAATACAGGTTTATTTCAAACTACGTTACGAAAAGGATCTAATCAACATTCGATACTAGGACGACGAGAAGTTTGTTCGCAATATTGTTCGAAACTTCCACCTGCGTATGTGTATAGTCGAATTCGAAGATTGAAAACACTGAGTGGACATTTACAGATACAAGCTTATTGTCTAGCATATGATAAATTGGGTCAAGTTGTCATTACTGGATCCGATGATAGGTATATGATATTCTGATCTTTCGATTGCTTGATAAAAGTACTAATAGATTGTTTGTTTCTGCTACCTATTGGCGCAGATTAGTCAAAATCTGGTCCTTACGAACAGGAGATTTGTTATTTACGCTACGAGGACATGTTGGAAATATTACAGATTTAGCAGTAAATCATTCAAATACGCTGTTAGCTTCGTCTTCAGATGATAAGACAGTTCGAGTTTGGGAAATGAAAACTGGAGGTCCAGTGGCTGTTTTGGTAGGTCATTCCGGTGTTGTGAATGCCGTTCGATTTCATCCAAAGAGAAATATTATCGTTACTGCTTCCGACGATGGACGTTGTTTCTGTTATAAGGTACCAGAGATCCCACCGATAGATAAACAAGAAACAAAACTTGAGACGGCACGAAGATTATATTCCTTCCATGCGTATATGCTAAGTTTGCATCCAATTTACGCAATGAAGCACGCACGTCGTGAAGGTGTACGATCGTGTAAAGTGCATTGTGTCACGTTTAGTTGTTGTGGAGATTTTGTAGCTTCGGGAGGTCACGATGGAATCGCGCGTGTCTGGGATATCTCGATGGCTTCCGCTCCTGATGCGCCAATTGTTGTGCCTTGCTTTCAACCTACCGATGAACCACAAGAAACAAATGTACAAGAAGTAGGAGGAATGACGCGCTTTTCTCCTAGAGAGACTTCAACCTCACCATCTCAAACTAGGAATTCATTGTCCGAGACCTTACAAACAGCTAGAAATCACGTCCCAGAAACTATTACAGTTGATTCATTACGAGCTACGGGCGCTTTAACTCAGCCATTGGTTCAGCTTCCTCAAGAATCAGTGCTACCTTCCTTTCCAATGCCATTACAACCTAATACTGATATACTTCTTCCAACAGTTGCAGAAGCTTTACAGCTTGAGACGACACCACGTCCAACTGAACCACCACAGGTCCCAAATGACTTGCCGTCTTTGTCTCTTTCTGATGATGATGTTCCAAGCATTGAGCCAATTGCTTTACTTAAAGGTCATAAAGGCCCCGTAACGAGCATTGCATATAATCATCGAGGTGATCGAATTGTCACTGCTTCAATTAAAGACAGCGTGACACGATTGTGGAGATGGAAACGAAGATATAAAAGCTTGTGTGGAATTGTTCTTTTAGCAAATGAGTCTGTCAAAGAGTCCGATGATATGTCGACTCTTTATGGCATTCGTGGTCGTAAGAAACCAATTCCTGTTGTCGATATGGTAGCATGGACGCATGACGATCAACGACTGATTACTCTTCATAGTGTGAAACTTGATGATGAGTCTGTAGAGCCAATTTGGGAGCAAAGACTACGAATTTGGGATCCAGAAAATGGAAAGTTACTCATGACTGTTGGTGCAATTGATAAGGAAAAGAAGAATGGACACGTGAATGCAGCATTTGCGCTAAGTACTCATCCAACTGATTGGCGTATCGTTGTGACAGCAGGATACGATGGTCGTATATTTTTGTGGGATATCTCCTCAGGACGAATGCTCAAGTCATTCATGAATTTATCGTCCGATGTCAAACCTCTTTCTATTCTTGACGGTGGCTTCACTCCGGATGGTAGTAGCTTTTGTTTCACCGATCAAATTGGACGGCTACTTATCTTTGGTACAGGCTCTGGAGAACAGTACGCAGCGACTCCTGTCCAGCAATACTTTCTCCATGACTATGTGATGCTAGTAACTGATGGTCATTATAATGTACGAGATCGAGAGACGCAAGAACTACCAAGTTTAATGGACTCTGGTCCACTAATGGATGCTTCTTTAGCTCAGTACCCACACCAGCCTCCTCATTTAATGCTAAATAAGGTCTGGACTATTGAGGAATATGCGGAAAATCGACGCCTGCGTATTCAACAAAGTGTTGATTCGGAAATTCGATGTGGAGTACGTCACGTACCTGAAGCTGAAGAGGAGATATACTCATTTCCTTTGGCAATTATTAAAAATACGACACCGGAACAAACTGGTCCGGCCACTGATGCTATGGCATTAGCTCGAGCGTCATATCGATTGAGTGGTGCTCCAGTTATGCTGTCAGAGCTTCGGCGTCGATCTGGATTAAGACGAAGTCGAGATTCTCGCCGAAGACGTGAAGCAGAAGAGCGAGATACGTCTGTGCTTGAGCTTGAAATTTCTAGTGAAGACGATCGAAGTGACGAAGACTTTCAAGTGCCAACTCCTCGCCATGCAGCTGAAGAGGAAGAAGAGGACGAGGATGAAGACGATGATGAACTTGAGTCGGAAGATGGTCTTAGTGACAATGAGGAGACAGTGATCTCATCTGCTCAAAGTAGGCACAGACGGCTACGTAGTACAAGACAGCGCGAGTTTTCTCGTGTTCGGTTTTCTTATCGAGGTCGTAGATTACGTTCAAACAGTGACGAAGCAGAACAGGAATCTTTTCCTCGTCAATTACGAACTCGACAAAGTGCCACGAGATCTCGTTCTCGATTGATTTTAGATAGTGACGCTGAAGAAAATGACGAGGAGAATTCGGAGGAGCATGTGAATGAAGTGAACCACGACAGAGAAAGTCGAAGACGTGATGAGCATAGTGAAGTTGTGGTGGAGTCGAATGACGGAATTATTATGGGGGACAATCAACTAGATCGATTTGATCAAAACATGACGTATGGACAGATGCTTGAAGTGAAACGAGCTCACATTGGAGATGCTTCGATACCAGCTGAAAATAGTGATGAAGCACTTCTACCGTGTGCTTTGTGTGGTATTGGGGATGATGATGCGATGCTGAAATTACCTGGAGACGGGATGGGTATCCACCCATTGATCGTTGGAGTCCAACGGGTATTTGTGCACGATCAATGTGCAATTGCCTCCCCTTTATGTTTCAATCGGGATGGTAACTGGTACAATGTAACGAGAGAAATACGTCGTGGAAGAGCTTTACTATGCGTTGCATGTAATAAACGCGGAGCAACGATCGGGTGTACTATCAGTGCTTGTCAAAACTCCTATCATTGGAAGTGTGCAATTAATTACGGCTGGTCTGTAGATCAGCTTCATTTCTTTTGTCCAGATCATCGGACGGAAAGGAATGTCGAAAATGTAGCACATGAAGTGGTTGGAGAGGATGGTGGAGCGATGATTGAACCTGCTTCAAAACGTTTTGGACTGAAATTTCATCGTGAATGGTTACAATTGGTCACTTTGCGACCAATTCATCAATATGTTCCTCAAGTCGGTGATTATGTGGTGTATTTACCAGAAGGACATCAAGGATATTTACGATATGGTGGCATGATAACGCCAGAATATTACGCACGTTTGTCGAGATTTTATGCCATTAAATGTCGTGTTGTAGACGTCACTTACGTATTCCCTACTGCAGAAGAGTACACGCGATGCAGTACAATCAAGTGTGAACTTTTATTAGCGGTATTGGCTGTGCCAGCTTCAGCCTGCGATTCGACTCGAGACAATAGAGAGCACGACGAAGAAATGAAAGAAGACACGGCGTTGTTTGCTCCAGAGTCGACTCCATTTGCACAATTCACGAGTGTAGATGATCAGCTCCTTCCCACGGTATCGGAACCATCCATACGTTATCATTTTAAACTTTTATACCACTCGAACGATGTGGCAAACTTTCTTGTACTTGATTATGAATATGAGAATGGTGTATGGGGTGATTGGCATGTAGGAGATCGTGTTCAGATGCCATTTGTACAATTAAATGAGTTCGGTCTTGAGATTGAAGCTAAACTGTCGTTTGGGACAGTTGAAAAGATTATTCAAAGGCCGTTTCCAACTAGTAATTATGGCGAATTGTCTCCTTGGGAATGTGTGATGGTAAATTGGGATGATCCAGATGATGATACATGTGCTGTATGTCCTTGGGAACTGGAGGCAGCGTCAGCAGATGAGCGGCGGGAAAAACGAGAGTTATCGCTTCGAAGACGCTCAACTCGACTGTTCTTTTCACGATACCTCGTTGGAGACAAAAGTGACGCACTTTTACAAGAAATGGATCAGATATTGACACTATCAATAGCGCGAGACTTTATGTATCCTGTTGATGAAGATACTTTCATTGACTATCCAATCTCGATTGCTAATCCGATGGATTTGACAAAGATTCAACAAAGATTACGTCTTGGCTATTATCGACAAGTGGAAGCGTTTGTAGCAGATGTCAAGCTGCTGAGTACGAACTGTGAAACGTACAACATTTCATCAAGCCCTATTTCTCAAAATTCACGTAATCTCGTTGCTGCAATCTTAACGCAGACACAACGTCACTTTCCGCACCTTCTGTATGATTTAAATCGTCGAGAAGCTGATACAGAGCAAACGAGTATCTTGTATTCGTATCCTCCGGATGATTTCTTACCGAATTCTCGTCAAGATCCAGACGACATGCATCTAGCGTTATTAGAGACCGAGTTATTAACTTCAACAGAAGTAGTAAGTAGTAATAGCACAGTTGCTACCGTTGTGGATCCACCCGCTGTAATTGGTCAAAGTGCTATGACTACCGTGCATGAAGCATCACCGCAAAGAAGATTACGCAGTCGCACACGCAGTAGAGAAGAGAATACTGGCGAAAGTGCTTTGGACGAATCAGGAGATGTTGGTATCGATCAGGAAGATAATTCACTTATTCAAACCTCTTCTAGACAGGCTCAGTCGACGGTAATCGATGAAGTGGAAGGTGTCAATGCTGTGATTCCTCCAAGACAACTTCGAAATCGAGAGATTACAGAACCACAACCTTCATCCCCTCGCACACGTCGCTCACCTCGAGTGGTAACAACGTCATCTACGGGAGGAAGTTCAACACGTAAACGGCAGCGTCGGAATCCTGATCACGAACTTTTAACTTACTCGGGTCTAATGGAGAAATACTCGACTGTTGACCGTAAAGTTATCGAACGCGCGTGTAAAGAAGATTTACAGGGCGTTCTTATCATGTTTCACGAAGCTCTGACGGATGCTGATAAGACGGACGTTTTTGCAACTCCAGTGACGGACGATGTCGCTCCCCAGTATTCCGAAATCATTCATCATCCAATGGACTTTGGGACGATACAAGATAGATTGTACAAGTACAGAAGCTTCCGCGACTACTTTGTGAGTACAGTTAACGTTCACTTGTATAGCAATCGTATTGACTTTTTGGATTGTAGGCTCATGTGCAATTGGTTTTCTCAAACGCAATAACGTACAATAGCTGGAATTCTTCTATAGGTGGACTGGTTGAGGATCTACAGAAATACTGCGTCAAGTTCTTACTGGATGCAGCTGGAGTCCACTTTCAAAAGCACAAGAATCATGCGACGACAAAAGGCAGACGAATTGCTGACACTGTGGTCAAGACATCTGCTGCATCAGGCAAACGACGAGCTTTGTCCACTGTTTCAGACGATGAGGAAGATAGTTGGCATAGCAATTCTTCAGGGTGTGAAGATGAGAATGAAGAGGAAGAGGAAGAGGAGGAGGAAGAGGAGGAGGACTTGAGCGATGATTCGGACTATGGTGCAGGTAGAAAGCGTCGATTGCGGCAAGCTAGTTTCAAGGTTAAGAAGAAGAAACGTAGACGTCGGTAATGTGGCTTTGTGACTATCTTAAAAGGCTCTTGATATCTGTCTGGATCGAAATGACGGCGTAAACTCAAGCAAACAAGACACGTGAATATTAACCACAATTTCTGAATTCTATGCAAACGCTGCGGTAGGACGCACGTCTGGGAAAACTATGGTATCAGTACTTTACAGCAGCCGCACCCCCTCGATGACCTTTTCTGTCATTTCGTTGTTTTGTGCATCCATTTTCTCCATCATTCGCGCTGCAATAAGCTTTAATGCACGCAATTCGGAACCTCTGACTTTTTTGCGAGCATTCTTGTCAACCATAGCAATGGCACCAATCACCACGCCTTCTTCCTTTGCTATCAATGGGATCCCCAAGAAAAAATTCACTTGCATGGACAGCGCAAGAGGATTCTTGGCAAAACGAATATCCTTTCGAATGTCTAGGACTACAAGTGGATCAGATGACATGATTGCATGACCATCCACGCCAACATCGCGCGGTACTTGATCGCCGACAAGGCCAACTGTGGTCACAAACAAACTTGTTGATTTTGTCACGACAGAGAGAGCAGCGACATGACAATTTGCGGTCGTACACGCTAATTCGAGTAGACCGCGTAGAACGGAATTGGCAAAATCTTGCGATAGATTAAGCCGTTGAATGATCCGAACACGCTCCTTTTCAGTTGACGTCAATGGGGCATCAGGCCACGGATTGCCCTTTAAAAACGTCAGCTCATACTCAAACGGCGAGTTAACACACACATCATCGTCATCTTCATCATTTTGGCTAGCCACACTACTCGATGAATCACTTGGACTCTGAGCCATATTCTTGGCCAAGGTCGGTTCGATCGTAAATCCAGCTAAAGCTTCTTCTAACGTCACGTGAGCGGCGCTACCGAAACACTCTACATCGCTTTCACGGCTTGACGAAGTTCTGTCGCTAGCACTCGATCTGGTAGCATTATGACGGCTTTCAGACGCGGTTGAAGTCCCGTAAGCTCCAGTTTGATCGCCGTTCAAACATGCCATACAGACACGAGTACTAGCTGAAAACTTTGAACGCTGAATGTCCTTGCGAATTGCGGAACATTTGGAGCAAACGGATGAGCCGCAGATTCGACAGTGGTGTGCACGGCGCGTGAACATTGAAAAGTTACCACCACAGACAGAGCAGGAGTCACGAAAGTGCCAACTTCGACGATCACGCAGTTGATTACGTCGAATTCGGCGATTCACAATTGCACTAGGCACAAGACGAACACACCCGGCGAGACGCAAAAGCCACGCACGATCCTGTTCTAATGATGGTGCACGGTATGGAGCTGTGATGAAAAACGACACACGCGTGGTCATCGAGTTCCTATCTTCAGATGCTTCGACTACAAAGCCGCATTTTCGCAACGATTGACGTTGCATGTGAGTCTGCGAAAAGAGGGGACCACATCTTGGTAATTCAATGGATTCCATGACTGAAACACCGTAAGATGCACCGCCTCCAAGTGGATTATTTCCTCCATTCCCGTTGCAAAAAGACTGATTAAAACGCATATAAAAAAGCTCTCGAAGCGGTGCTTGTGGATGTACGTCATTAAGTGCTAGCCATTGTACCATAAGTGACGACGACGTGGGTCTCGATCCACGCGGTGTTTTTGGTGTGGCCGGTGTATTCGGTTCCGGTGTCGGTTCAGGTGCGTTCCCAGCGTCTGCGCTTACTTCGGTATAGAGCAGCGCTTGCCCAGATGCATATTGTGCACCTAATAAATCTTGTAAAAATGCATCAACTTCAGTTGCTGTGCGACCGGAGAGCAGCGCGAGTACCTCGTCACACGTTGTATTTTGTAGACGTACGACACCTTTCATCACAAGCAGTTCGTCCTGTGTATCGTGCATTTCGTAAATGGTAAAATTCTCTTTCTGCTGACGTAAAACAGCACTAGCAGCTATGGAACCAGCAACACCTTGGTCATCATCCGTGACCCAACGTATAAGTTGGTTCGCACGGGCTTCACCAATTGCTGCCAGTTCCTTTACACGCTCCTTTGTCATTGCACGTGGGACTTCATATTGTCGTGCAACTTGCTCAGCAAATGCACGTGACGTGGAGGAAGATCCACTTACGCTTTTGTTAGCCGACGAACTGTTGATCCTACGAAACATGGACACACAGAGAGGGAAGTGGAGGAAACGGGACTGGCCTCCTCTCGGAGGTGTCTACCTCGATTTGCTATACGAGTGCTCGGACACTGTGAGATATGATCAAACGTAAGTTCTAGTAAAATAATTAAAAATGGAGGAGAGGAGATAGAAATCAAGACACTGTCATATATGATTAAAATGAAGTTCTATTTAAATAATAAAAAATGCAGGAGATGAAATAGAAATTAAGGTTTAAAATAGAAAAAAATAAAAACTGTCCTGTCTGATATCGTCGCAACGTCATTTTTGTGCTCTATGCAACTAAGACAAATTTTGATAGCGTGGAAAAAGTGGCAATTACTGTTGTATGTACGATGAAATAGAGGTAGGTACACAATAAGACAATAAGACAATAATTTTCACGTGTCGTCGACATGGCTGCAAATAACGTTGCGGGCAACCAGAAAGGGATCATGTGGTTTATAAGGTTGTATACCTTGCAAAGTTACGATTCGAAGTTACGATTACAGCTCCTTTCGGTGAGAGTCTAACGATGGACAAGAATTGTGTTTTACTCAAATTATTTGCATGCAGTTGAATGGACAAAAGGCAGTACACTGACGTACATATACGTCAGTGTTTTGTCGCATGGTCTCTTTTTTTGAAAATACTGATACAGTCAAAACTTTCGAGTGCAGCATGATATTGTGCGTACATAAAGCTTCACGAACGTATTAATTATATGATTGACGACACGACAATAAAGAAGACCCAGATTCGGAGTTTTGGGCACTTTATTTTATAGAGAATTAGAAATTGAAGTCACAAAAGTTTGATTTAAAAAAAAGACTTTGTAGTAATACAAAGCTTCGGACTTAGAAGAAAATCTCATGTAATACGGTACGCATCATGTTACATGATACTCATGAGTTCAGCTTTTAGGCCAGTTAATTGTATTAATTAATGTATCCTAGGATAAGGTTAGCCGGCAGAAGGATACATCAAGTAAAGAATTGGGGGTAAAAAATGTTAAAATTTACGTAGTGTATTACGGGAGGCTGATAATTGATGAAGAGTGAGGAGTATTGTCCTGAAGGGTTGAACATTTCTCGAAATGAGACGCATAACTAGAAATTTATTGGGTATGTTGAGGCAAAGAGATGCACAAACTTTGATGAGGCTGTGCTAATACATGAACAGAGACAAAAGACGTCAAAACGCCAATACGGCGGTGATGATTGTCAGCGCAATGTCTGTGCGTGATTTAAAAGTGACGTGTACTGGAATCTAGGCCACATAAATAAATAGGGCCTTACCATATAATATGCGCTGAATGTGGTAGCAGAAATTTTTGCGGTCCAAATTCATGATGCTTTGAGATATTCGTTCGTGTGTTGAGGAATATCAACATTCTTAGCCTAGTCATAAAGCTGAGTCTCCATGTCGTGAGAGATAGACCGAAGTACTGAAATATTCCATCTGGGTTGCGCGATTTCCAAGACCGAAGATGGTCAAGCTGCATTGCATTCAAGCAAAGTAAAGTACCATGATGGTTTGTACTGGTACGGATTAGCTCAGACTTGACTTTAGATGAGCCGCTTACAACTTCATTGCAGTTTACTTCATTGAGGTGTACGAAGTCATCTTTTGTGCTTTTATCACTCGATTTGTCAAAGCTTTCATAGTGTGAGATGTGCGGCAATTCGATGACCAAGTCTCTACAAAAATAAACAAAAGTTTATCAGGCTTGTGAGGTAAACTCTATCGCCGTAAGAAATACGCTAAACTTCCATACGTTTGAGGTTAGGGGCGAAGATATTTTCCCTATTCGTGGGAGGAGTTGACATGGCTATAAAATCTTGACAACAGTGCGTCACGCTGGCAGTCTCTATAGTGGGAAACTGCGCACGAGAACGAGCATTGAAGTGCGGGAGCACTACAGAAGGTGCATTTTCACTGTGGAAAGTATTGAATCGACTGGTGTCGAGGGTGTTCGCACCGCCTTGCCATGAGTATCATGTCTGATCACAATGCTTGTCCAGCAGCCGTCACGATAATGGGGGACTGTTCGCGAGTACGAGCATTCACAAGCGGTAACACTACAGAAGATGCATTCCCACTATGGAAAGTATTGAATCTACAGGTGTCGAGGGTGTTTGCACCGCCTAACCAAAGGCTCAACTAGAGCATTCTACATGCTTGATTTTGTAAAGTTCAAAGCATAAAGCCGACATTGAGATATATAAACATCATCCAAGTTTGTGCGGTAAACAGCCCTTAACAACTCCAGAAGCCTGCAAGAACAGTAATTGTCAAAGTCACAGACTTGGAATAATACTATGCGCTATTTGCTCTACGTGGTCAAACCGGTCCACGCGGGGGTCATGACAGAGGATGCAAGTCATAAGTAGAAATGGAGCTTGGGCCATTTTATCAATGCTGATCTGTTAGCCGGAATTTTACTTCCACTTCAGCAAATACTGGTTACAACACTAATTACCTTGTTCACCAGCTTTTTCATTTAAGTAAGCCTTTTACCTTGCTCATCCGACATAGCCGCCGAAGATGTGTGATAACTTTTGCGGTTGTGGCTCTGCGCTAGCTGTTTCCGATTTTCAGCGTGCGTTCAGACAGGTCGTGGTAGGCTTTAGCGAGTCACACCACATATACAAAACGGTACAAACCCTGTGAAGAAGTCCATCATGTAAATATGTATTGAGTTCTGACAATCAAGAAACTTGTGGGGCTTACAGTTTCGTCGTTTGAAGCTAGCGTGGTGAATATTGAATTTTTATAAAAGTCATGACAATCTCTAAGCTAGGAGGTCGTGCGCGAGAGAAGGCACTTATGTGCAAGACCTCGTCTACCAAGGAAGATTTAACTCAGACAGATCGTGTGGTACGTCGTTAGTGATCCCGCTTAAGAAATAATGTGCTCGCAATCGTTATCAATGTCCAGCTTCGACCTAAAAGGGTCCTGTATAGCGAGGGAGAGGATTGACAACAGAGTACGCATGCTCGTGTAGGATCATAGCGATTGTTAAATCTTATCGCCAACATATACAATTGTGTCTTGTCTGTCTTCGACATTTGAAAATTGCTTTATATACTCCATAGCGTCACGAATGCGATACTTTATTTCTTAATATCGTCAAGATGAATCTCAATTTTTCCTATGAATTGTTACTGGGCTCATATCTGCAAGTTATGCAAATTGGCGATAACTCCCCAACTGGCACCAAACAAACTCGTGGCCGTGTCAAAATACATTAAGATCCTGTCCAATCGGTAAAAAAGTGGTATAAAAATTTTAGAGGTATCTACTGCAATATACAATGCAAACTGACGAATGGTTTTATTTTTCTAGCACTATGAACGCTTTGCGATGTTTCTCGGGCTGGAATCCTCCATCACACAATCAACACGACCCTTTTAGAGATCTATCAAGGGTGAATCAGCAGTGGACGTGTCCAATTCGGTGCTAAGACCCTCAAGCCAATTGCTCCAAAGTTTCGCTGCAACACGCGGATCACGTTTGGAATAGTGGCCGTCAAAAAGCCATCTTAGAAAAAAAGTTTGCCCGACGGCCAACCTGGCTGTAAATTGACCAATAACAGTGTCACTGACAGCAGCTGCATGAGCATTTCAACGGATAGTACTTAAAAAATCATGGACTACCAGCATTTTGCCAGAACCGGCATACAAGTCAAGGGCACCGGTGCATGTGATAAAATTTGCTCCATTGACGCGTCTCAAACGCGCGCACACGACACCTTAGCCGTCTGTAAATATTTGACCGCAAAATTATTGCTCTCACGTTTGTTCAACTCCGAAATGTATAATGTACCGCGCGCCGTTGTCTGTACTTGAATACTTCCTCATGAGGTACAAATCACATGTTGAGTGATCAGTGAACGTTGAGCAGATTTTGCAACAGAGAGCAATGGTGTAAACGAGCTTATAAACGCTCAACAAAACGAAATCCGAGTTCAAAAACTTTACTCGTGAAAGCTCTCACCACTGCAACAAATATTGCTGAACATATCTTCTCGTATTGGATTGAGATGGATAGGAATGAGTATATTGCTTTCCTGTTGAGCGGTGTACAACTTCACAATGTGCAAAGACACATTTTTTACGGCCACGAGCCGAACAGGTGTATTCAAAATTTGACAAGAGCATACTCTATAATAAGTAGCTTCTAATCATGAACTGTATGTTTACGCTGTGGATTCTTGAATGTGATGACCCGTTAGTTTCCATTGATCTGTACTTGGCGCTGACTACATGTTATGGTCAATGCTGAAGTGTAACTCATAGGTGAAATGGTCCATCCAAATTCGGAAAAGTAGAAATTCGGACGCTCAAGAGCTCTTCTTTTTTAGTCAGTAAGACTTTCTCTTCTATTGCACACTCTCCTATTTCTAATATTTGTTTTGAGAGACTAGCGAAAGGCCATGCCATGTCGACATAGATTCTATCTAGGTACATTTGGCTAAGTCAAGTCAATTCATTCTTGTAACGCCACTGGTAGATTTACGTCAGATATAAACTTCGAGGGATCCGTCAGCATAGCATGCCTCCCAAATGAAGTATCACAAAAATGGTATACTTTTTGGCGCTGGAGATGCGCTTGTTGACGTTAGCAAAGAGATTTGAAATAAGCACACTCTGACACATTTGACAATTTTAAGTATGGATGTCCTTCGACCTTCAGCTCTGGGCGCGCCTAAATACAAGATACTGTCAACACCGTTTGTTTGCACGCTTAGTGCGGTTATAGTAGCTGTTCTTTTAGTCACTCAAACATCAATGGCGAGTTCGATAGCCACAAGTACTAATTAGCCACTTCCAGATCATCTCGCTCGAAGTAGTCATTGCAAAGTCTTTTTAGTTGTTGATGATGTCCGTCGGCAAGGGATTGCGTTGCAAAAAACATGCCGTTCTGTAGCACGCGTTTGCGCCGATAAAGTGAATGTATGGGTAACTTTAAGAATACACATTTTACAATATACTGATAGT